GGGGAGAATGGAGTGATTTATTAAGTACAATTGTTACTTATTGAGATATTTTTGAAAATATAATTTCTGGTTAGCAAGCATCAATAATCAAGTCAAATTCTGTAAAAAAAAAAAAAGAAGCAAAGATGCATTGAGTAGTAGTTTTGAAAGATATATTTTCTTGAAAGTCAGTGGACGGACCGGGGCAGGGGTTTACACCTCACCGTTCGTCAAATATTTGCAACACACGCGCACACACACGGCATCACACACACGCGCACACGACGCACACACCGACATTCACACACACACGGGCATGCGCACGCACAATCACACGCCACCACGAACACACGCCATATATACATACATACATACTACATACACACAACACACACCACCACACACCGCACGCCGACGCGACGCACGGCACGCGACGCACACACACACGTACGCACGCACGCCGCACCGCACACGGCCACACGCACACTGCACGCACACACGCACATCACACATACACATACACACACAATACAACTGCAGCTGTATCTCGTTGGGGTTCTGTCCTTTATTTTTCGCTTCACAGCGCTCGTGCCGGCAGTGATTGGCTGTTTTATACACCGCAGCGGCGATCCTGTCTTTGCTGTGTGCGTGTTGTGCGGTGCGCGTGTGCGTGCGTTTGCGTTTTAGTGTGGCTTTGCTAGCTAGGTGAGGGCGTCACCTAATTAAATGCTTATTTTCTACCTTTACATCTACCATTTAGTATAGCCTATATTATCATTAAAACCCTGTGAGAAACAGATTAATATTTTAACACAATTTCAAAAGGTTATGTATATCTAGTGTGGTGTGTGCGATGCTCTTAGACAATTCGAACAGCGTCGAAATTGTCAGAGCATTGGGAGCCGAGTAACGCGCGGGTACCGGTTACACCTTCCGTTGTCAAATGTCGTGCACACACGCGCGCACGCACGTACTCGCCGCGCGCCCCCCCGTATTCACACACATAGGCATGCGCACGCACAATCACACGCACCCACCACACACATACCACATTTACACACAACGGCGCGCGCACACACATACGATCGCACACGCACACACACGGAGCGCGCAACATACAGTACACGCACACGCACACCACACACACACACGCACACACCGCCGCACGCATGCCACCACACCACACGACACAACACACACACACACACACACACACACACACACACACACACACACACACACACACACACACATACAACTGCACGCCGTCTCTCGTTGGGGTTTCTCTTAAATTTTTCCCCCTCACAGTGTGCGCGGCAGCTGCTTGCCGTTGTTTATACACCGCAGCCGCAATGGCTTTGGTGTGTGCGTGTGTGCGCATGCGGATTTCGTGATCTTAAAATTTTGTGCGGGTTTCCGATGAATGCCGAAGTTTCTTCGGGCACATAATTTTTTAGAAAATGGACTCAAAAAGTCACTTTACCATCGAAATATCGCGTTCTAACGTAGCGGAATGTATTCGGGACGTCCAGAAGGGGCCCCAGCTTGATTCGCGTGAGCACACGTGGCACGGTTTCGGAGGAGATACGGAAAACGACACTTCGGCTCTTTCTACTATTATATAGTAGATTAGTATATATTAATGTTCTTTCTTACCTTTCCAGGCGGTGCTTGGAATTGCCACTTGCAATAGGAATTTTTGGGGTAATTGTTGGGAAACAATGGTGACGTCATGATGCCGCCCGCTGGGTTGTCGTATGTGTGATTAACTCCGTTACATCCTTCCCATGCTAGAGGTTTAGATGACAACAGTGATTACGGTACGGTTCTTACACGGAGATTGGTGCACACGGAGATTGGCGCACACGGAGACAAGCACAAACGCACACGCACGAACACACACGTGCGCGTACACAACACACGAACGCCCGCACGCATGCACGCGTGCAATCGTACCTTTTAACTAGATTAATTTAGCAACTTTACATTTTAATTTTGTATGTATGAAGAGCGCAGATTATCGTAGCGTGTATGAGAGCACAAATCTCTACTCACGTTTAGTTTCATTGAAACGGTAGCGGATCTGAAACCCACTGTAGCTTCTACTAGAATCGCTGACAAAATGCAGGAACATATTCGTTTCGTTGAAGGCTTGATCCTTGGGCAAGCTATGCCCACATAACCTGGCTGACATGGTCGCATTGGCGTCGGCTCCGTTATACACAGTCAGCGAATCATTGGAGCAGTTGTTAGAGGACTCCACGTTGAAGCTGAGAAACTCTAGACGTACGACCTGCAGTAAATATATAGGAGATTATCAGACGCTGCTGCTGCTCTATATGATGTGATCACCTTCGTTTGGACGGCAGAGGACGCAGCGTTTAGCTAAGCTTCGTGGTGATTCAACTAAAATTCGAGGCGCGATTGTGCGTTTGCAGGCATTATAAATCGACTTAAATGCATGACTAATGTCTACAAGGTCAAATAGAGAAAAGGAACAGTTATATTACGTTAATCTAACCAAAAAAATCAGCAAAGGTCTGCCTTACCATTCCTAATGGAGCTTGGAAGTGCCATTTGCAGTCGGCGTTGCTGGGGTAATTATGGGGGAACATTGGTGACGTCATGATGCCGCCCGATGGGTTGTCGTAGGTGTGAGTATGCCAGCCACATCCTTCCCATGCTAGAGGTTTAAACGACAATCATAAATACGGCGCGGTTTTTGCATGGAGTTACCATAACTAGCGCATAGATAAGGCCTAGCACACATACACGCACGCGCACGTACGCACGCACGCACATTCATTTTCATTCAAAAATCATTAAAATTACAAAATTAATATACAAACATTTGCACGCAGTCACACATTTCATTGTTAACTAAAATAATATAATAAAATCACCACGATATTCATTTTTCCATAAAGTGTAAATAATTGCATTCGACATTATATCATTATGTCGCCACTTGCGTTTAGAATCATTAAAACTGTAGCGGATCTTGAACCCGATGTAAGTTTCGTTAGAATCGCTGACGAAACGCAGGAACATGTCCGTGTCTCTGGAGAATTGGTCATCGGGTATTTCAAGTCCACATAGCTTGGCTGACATGGAACCATACTCATCGGCTCCGTTGTACACAGTCAGCGAATCATTAGAGCAGTTTCGGGAGGGTTCCACGTTGAAGCTGAGAAACTCTAGATGTACGAGCTGCAGTAAATATAGGAGATTATCAGACGCTGCTGCCTTACAAATTCAATGATGACTCGAAGAGAAATAAATCAGTTTTTTGGAACCAATTTCACATGATAACCAATAGATCTCCTTACTTTCCCAGGCGGTGCTTCGAAATGCCACTTGCAGTCGACGTTGTTAGGGTAATTCTTAGGGAAGATTAGTGACGTCATGATACCGCCCGCTGGGTTGTCGTAGGTGTGAGTGTACCCGTCACATCCTTCCCACGCTAGAGGTTCAAAACAAAAACCAAGAATAGCGCTACGATTGTTACTTACTAGCGCATAGGTAAGGCCAAATGTAAACACTCACGCACGCACGCACGCACGCACGCACACACAGGCACGCACGCACGCACGCAAGCACACACGCACACAAGCACGCACACATGCACACACACGCACACACACGCACGCGCCCGCACGTACGCACACGCGCACTTGCACGCGTACAAATATTCGAAAGAAGCCACAGAAGTCGCGTATTTTGTTGTTTTATTCATGAAGTGAACACATAACTGAATCTGTGAAAGGATCGCGTGTATCTATACTACTTACGTTTAGATTCATTAAAACTATAGCGGATCTTGAAGCCGATCAAAGTTGCATTATCATTACTGACGAAATGCAGGAACATATTGGTGTCTGTGGAGATTTGGTCGCCTGGTATCTCACAACCGCATAGTCTAGCTGACATGTTCGCATTGCCATCGGCTCCGTTGTACACAGTCAGCGAATCATTGGAGCAGTTTTTAGAGGACGCCACGTTGAAGCTGAGAAACTCTAGATGTACGACCTGACATAAAATATAGGAGCTTATGAGACGCTGCTGCTCAAATAAACAAGTAATCTTTGTCGTTAGTACGTGTTTCCCGGTACATCATAACCAAATGTAAATGCGAAAAAGATCAAATTAGAGGACGAGCGAAAATTCCATTTCACGGACCAATCCTGGTACAATTAGTAATAATGTGCCGTACCTTTCCTGGCGGTGCTTCGAAGTGCCACCGGCATTCGACGTAGTTCGGGTAATTTTTAGGGTACATTGGTGACGTCATGATGCCGCCTGCTGAGTTGTCGTAGGTATGAGTGTACCCGTCACATCCTTCCCAGTCGATAGCTGTGTGTGACAACCGACGATACGAAACGATTACTATATGAAGGTAGCGTAAATATGTTTTGGATGAATTGCGCACGCATGTCGTACGTGTGTATTACGCACGGCCAAATGTATACATGTACGCCAGTCCGCACGTCTGCAGGAAACATCCACACGCACACACACGCACATGCGCGCGCACACCGTCACGCACGTACACACGCAAGCAGACACGTAAATACACGCATGTACACGCATGTACACGTACACACACACACACACACACACACACACACACACACACACACACACACACACACTGGCACACGCACACACTGACACACACACACACACAGCGGTCTGGGCACACACACACACAACACACAGCCACAACGCACACACATGCAGCACCACACACACACATATCACACACACACACACACACACACGCACACGCACACACACGCACACGCACACACACACACGACACACGCACACACACACACACACACACACGACACATACACAATTACACACACACACACGCACACAAGCACTATACACAGCACACACATACACACACACACACACAGCAGATCGCACACACACACACATCCACGACACGAACAGGCAGCACACACTACACAACACACACACACACACACACACCACCGGCCACCACGACACATCACACACACACTTCACACACACACGGGCACACACACACACACACACACACACACCGCACAGCACACACACACCGACACACACAGCCACAGGCAACAGTCCACACACACACACACCAACACGGCCGCGCACACAGGGTCGCACACACAACGCACCGCGCGCACACGCACGCGACGACGGACGCACAGCAGCAGTCACACGGCGCAGCGCGCAAACCACGTGTACACGTACGCAACGCATAGTCAATTTACTGCACGAACAGTACAGCTCTGAAGAGATGTTGTTGTGGGCCAAGGGGGCAGGAATGTTTTGGCGTTTGGCGGGCTTTTGTGTCCAATGGAGCAACCTGGCATAACGAAGTTTTGTTTGTAAACTTAGAAGGACGATTGTTTAAGAAGCGAGCCAAGCGGAGAGAATAAGCTTCGATGAGGGTTTCAATCTGGATAAGACTAATCCCCCGAGGTGGGGCGAGGGAGAGGAAATGGTAGTGACCGATTTCAAGGCCAATTTGTGGGATTTTAGCGTGCTCATTGAACGAGGCTCTACAGCCAGCCATATGTTGGCCAGCCTAGGGTGCATTTGATGCTATCAGGAATATCATAATATCTAGGAGTAACAATTTAATTAGACTAGGAATGTGGCTGCGCTGGAAAATGAAAAATTAAAACATTTGCATGGCTTTGGTGTTCATATATGATTTAATTCTGTAATTCATTATTCATGATGATATCAGGTATGTCTTATATATGATGAGCTCATAACTCATAGCTCATAGCTCATAGCTCATAACTCATCTATATATGATGTTATTAGCTCAACTTGGCACACCAGTGCGACCTTTTGGATGTTACCTGTTACCACCTAGCCGGTGGTAGAAACAATGACTGGGAGACGTTAAATCAAAAGTGACAAAACTGTCTAATTGAAAGGTAATTAATAAAGAGCATCGCAATATATATATATATATATATATATATATACATACAATACCTTATTATTAGCTCTTGATATATGTATATATATATATACATCCAAAGATTCATACCCTACAAGCATATACATCTTTTACCCGAAAGGGGCGAAATATTCCAAATATTTGCATATATGATGTGTAATTATAGGTGCATCTGGGATACGACGTTACTCACCTTTAGAATCATTAAAACTGTAGCGGATCTTGAACCCTATATAAGTTGTTTTATTAGTACTGCTGACGAAATGCAGGAACATGTCCGTGTCTCTGGAGAATTGGTCATCGGGTATTTCAAGCCCACATAACTTGGCTGCGTAGGAACCATTGACGCCGACACCGTTGTATACCGTCAACGAATCGTTGAGGCAGTAGTAATCATAGTCCAGGTTGAAGCTAAGGAACTCGAGCCGTACGACCTGTAGTAAAAATACGCAAGCCGGTCTTACTCAGCTACTCTCTAATATGCTCTGAGAAAAGCGCCATTGCGAAGAAGACAATCGTCACACGTAGCTGAACTTCGTGGTCAATTACGTGATGTGTCGCTGCGTTCGTGTAAACGCTCATGCAACTTTACAAATATTATTTGTAACGTGCAGTAGGGTCGTGCGTGTGAATGTGGGAAGAATCCAAGATGACGTTTTTATCTTAAGCAAATTATATTATTTATCTGAATTTAATTCTTCGTATGAATTAATCGTATCTTATAACCGGCCGTAAATAGGTAGCCGTAGTTACGTCTTCACGATCAAATTACGGCTAAGCAAAGTTCTATTTCGCTGATAAATCTAGCAAAATAAACAAAAGACTTTCTTACCTTACCAAGCGGAGCTTTGAAGTGCCACTTACAGTTGGCATTGTTGGGGTAATTATTAGGGAACATTGGTGACGTCATGATGCCGCCCGATAGGTTGTCGTAGGTGTAAGTGGACCCGGCACATCCTTCCAACGCGACAGCTGTATGTGACACCCGATAACACGACACCGTTACAACTTGGTGCAAACTTACATGCGCACGCACGCACGCACACGCTCACAGAGTGAGAGAGAGAGAGAGAGAGAGTGAGAGAGCGAAGAATCTCTCTCTCTCTCTCTCTCGGAGAGAGAGAGAGAGAGAGAGAGAGAGAGAGAGAGAGAGAGAGAGGAGGAGAGAGAGAGAGAGAGAGAGAGAGAGAGAGAGAGAGAGAGAGAGAGAGAGAGAGAGAGAGAGAGAGAGAGAGAGAGAGGGGGGGGGGGACGGGAAAGCGCGCGAGGAAGAGAGGAGGAGAGCGGGCAGAGGGAGGGAGACTATGAAAGAGATCACTGCTACCCATGGTGCTTCGTGTGTGGCTCAGACGCGCAGCCTGGCGGCGAGTCAAAGAAATAATCTGCCGTGATCTACCTTGGACTTGATTCTTTCGGCCTTTGTTAGAATATCAATGCTGATCTATATTGCTCTCTCCCCCCTCCCTCTCTCCTTTTCTCTCTCTCTCTCTCTCTCTCTCTCTCTCTCTCTCTCTCTCTCTCTCTCTCTCTCTCTCTCTCTCTCTCTC